TTATATAATATATAAGTATGAGGCATATACTTAATAAATGCATACAGAAAGCCTTTTACTATACGTGTATGAATTTACCTAGGAGGAAATATGGCTGATTAATCATCAAGATGTCAACAGTTGTGATATTTGGGTAATTTCTTTTTTCCTCCTTATGCGTCTCTGTTTGTTTTAAAACTTTCTACAATAAACACGTATTGCACTTGGAATTAAAAAAATCAAAGTGTATTTTCTTCTTAGTTGTGATTGTACCTGCTGGGCCTCATCGGATCTTCAGAACAGTCATCTGAGCAAACTGAGGTCCAGAGCTGATACACAGTGATGTTAGAATTAGCTTTCCTCTGGTTCCATTCAGCCTACTTCCTCTCCGTGGTGCCTGCCTCCCCTGCAGTATCTAAGTACTGATGATGGCTTTTCCTGGAACTACTGACTTTAGCGCCATGTTGCGAGTTCGTGTGTATGTTGTTTGCAACTTGGAGAAACTGGATCCAAGTCCTCATGATCCTGCCCTCCTAAGAGGCTTTCCACACGCAAAAGATGGTCCTCCACCTCCTGGTCTACATCCTTAGACCTCTCTTTTCTGTGATGCTCTCCTGTCCTTTGCCTAGTTAGGGAGGAAATTGTTTCTCATTATTCTGTCAACCCACATCTTGATTGACTAGTGTGTTAGTGCTTGGCCAAACCAGTGACAATGAACGCCCAGACATTTGAAAGTCTTGAAACACTGTATTAACATTCTCTCAGTTATGTTGCAGTGACAAACCACCTCCCAAATCTCAGAGGCTTAAAACGACATGAGTTTAATTCATGCGCATGTTACATTTCCATCCCGATTTAGGGCTTAGCTCTTTACGCTGAGACTCTGGGTGAAGAAGTGACCCCCATCTGAGATATTGCTGGTGTGTGTCACAGGGAAGAGAGAGAGGTGACACCAGGGGACAGTTCTTCAAGCTTTGCCCACAGTCATTTCTGCTCACCTTTGATTGACCAGAGTGTGTCACAGGGCTGACAGGGAGGGGCAGCCAATGTTTTGACAGATACCTTCTCAGCTCTCGGAATCTCTGCTTCTGTATCTATAAAATGGAAATAGGTGTAAAACATTATGGGATATTCAAACCATGGAATGTCATGTGGCCATTTTAAAAAAATGAGTTAATTGCCCTTAAAAAAGTGTGTTGACCTGAGAAAAGCCCATGGTTTAGCGTTAGGTGAAGAACGCAATTTGCCCAGTAAATTGTATAGCTTGGTGTCATGTTTGCATAAATTTAGAAAACCTATATCTGAGCATATTTGTTTGCATGAGGATATTAATAAAAACAGCTAATGTTTAAGGAATGCTTACATCATATGCCGATTCTGTGCTAAGTGCTTTTTACGTGCATTTGCTCATTTAATCCTTGAAAAACCCAGAGAAAGGAGTAGAAAGTTATATTGAATAGTTATTATCAGCTATCTTACTTGGGGGTAGGATTAGAGAGATTTTATTTACTTTTAAAAGTAAATGATTTCTGTACATTTTTACTGATCACAGTAGGTGGATTAATCAGCTTTTGTGGTAAAAGAAACCACAGTAACATCTGAGTGCTGTGCAATGCTCAGTCATTTATCTTCTGCTTATGGGTCTGCAGTCAGCTGAGGTGGCATGGCCTTTCAAGGCCCTGCTTGGTCTTCTTTCCTCCCCACTGCATCTGCCTCCCCTGCAGTTTTCTAAGTAGTGATGATGGCTTTTCTTGGAACTGTGTATATAAGTGCTGTGTTGTGTGTGCTCAGGTGCAACCTGGAGAAATAGGGCCGAGGGTCAAATTCAGGTCTGCTCCATGTGCCTCATTCTAGAACCCACCCTGGAGAAGCAGGATCTGCCAGGGCTCTGTTCTTTTCATGGCAGAGGTGGGGACAAAGGGAAACATGGGAAGCTTCTGAAGGCCTGGGCTTGGAACTGCTCTGTTGTCATTTTGGCCCACATTCTATTAGCTGAAGCAAGTCACATGGCCAAGTCCAATATCGGTGGAGCTGGGAAGTCATAGAGGTTTAGAAGGAGGGAGTGAATATTCACTGTATAGTAATCTACAGTCAGCATTCATTGCTTTCTTAGTTAAAAAAAAGTAAATCACAATAAAGTGAGAAAAAGAATATTTACCAGTGATAGTTTAACTTGTGTTCAATAGATTACAAAGTCACTTTATGCATTTCTCAGAAATACAAACTCCATATCTACAGTTATAATGAGCACAGTGATAATAACATGGACATTTAATTAACCAAAGTATTCATTGCCTAGTAGGGCAGGTAGGCATTTACACCAGCTTGGCTTATGCTGCTTGTGGTGTAACATTCTGAGCATAATTCAGAGACTGTTTAATGGCCCTATGTATATATCACTACTACTTGTGTGGCCATCTGCAATCCAAGGAACTTAAATCATGGAATCACAGACTCTCAAGCCTGGAAGGCTCCAGTGCCTGTGGTAGGCAAGAGCCTCTTAAGTTATGTGGACAGCTGCTTTTGCCAATTATAGTCATTCTTGATTGGGTGTGTCTCACATTGCTGGAAAATAGTTATGGAAATCAAAATTCTTTCATTTAGCCCACGGGGACAGTGAGATCCCCAGCTGTCATTTACCTGAGTGGCCAAGATAGGATGGAGACCTAATTGTCTCTAGTAGGCCCAGGGCCTCTTGCTTTGTTTCTCTGCAAAACATGAACATTCAAGCATATGGATCATTTGGGAATATTCACTAGGACCTGAAGCTTCCATTACTCTCTTTAAAAAGTATATTAAGCCTCCTTCTTTTACTGTTTCCTCTCTCTTGAGAGAACGCAAGTACTGCTTAGACCAACTAACTCTGAGTCATGCAAAGAAATAGTATTGGCACAGACTCCGAAATGAAGAGGAGCACATTAAATTCCCTAAAACACTGGCCAGGGAATCATGCATATTTTAATTTCCTTTCTATTCTAGGTAATTTAGAAATATCTGCTGATATAGCTTATGGGAATCAATTGCATAAAGCAAATGTTTTACTAAGGACTTTGTTAAGATTATGAATTGTATTTCTCAAGTTTCAGTCATTTATCCATCACTTTTTCCATTTTGCTATGTCCACTTACTTCTCTCAAATCAACTTACTATTTTTCTTTAGATAGATTCACTTTTTTAAAACTTAAAGGTACCTTTATAGGAGATGATATATTACCAGTGTAAATGGATGAGAAGTATTACTTGCCATAAACACTGATACAACTGTAAAAAAAATACATAATCGTTAAAATAGATAACTTGTCTCTTATTCTACGTGTGGTAGGTGTTTTTCCACTGATATTGTGGAAAGGTATGGGCTCTGGAATCAGGAAGACGTGGGTTCAAATAACAACTCATTTTCTTCCCAATAGTGTGACCTTGGGCAATTTTCTTTCTTTTTTTTTTTTAACATCTTTATTGGATTATAATTGCTTTACAATGTTGTGTTAGTTTCCACTGTATAACAAAGTGAATCAGCTATACGTTTACATATATCCCCATATCCACTCCCTCTTGCGTCTCCCTCCCACCCTCCCTATCCCACCCCTCTAGGCTGTCACAAAGCACTGTGCTGATCTCCCTGTGCCATGTGGCTGCTTCCCACTAGCTATCTGTTTTACATTTGGTACTGTATATATGTCCATGCTACTCTCTCACTTTGTCCCAGCTTACCCTTCCCACTCCCCTTGTCCTCAAGTCCATTCTCTACGTCTGCATCTTTATTCCTGTCCTGTTGGGCAATTTTCTTAATAGTTGAACATCAGTTTCTTATCCATAAAATGGAATAACTTAGTGATTGATTGCCTACCAAATGAGTGTGATGGTTGCCATTTATGCCTACTTCCAAGAACTTCTGGAAGAAATGACATCGTTACTAATGGGAAAGCCTTTGGTACACGGATACAGGCATTTCTGCTGTAATGTGACATGTACATTCCTGAAACACTCTGTGTTCTGCAGAGTTGTACATTCAAAATAACATGACTGGGCTTCCCTGGTGGCGCAGTTGTTGAGAGTCCACCTGCCGATGCAGGGGACACGGGTTCGTGCCCCGGTCCGGGAAGATCCCACATGCTGCGGAGTGGCTGGGCCCCTGAGCCATGGCCGCTGAGCCTGCGCATCCGGAGCCTGTGCTCCGCAACGGGAGAGGCCACAACAGTGAGAGGCCCGCGTACCGAAAAAATAAATAAATAAATAAAAAATAACATGACTTTCTGCAAAAATAGGGTTAAGGCAGGCCACTGGAAACCTGTACGATATTGTAACCATACTGTTAAGATAAAACTCTAAATATCCTAATAAAAGTAATAGAGCTAAAAAGATCTGTTAAACTTTGACTAAATAAATACACCCACACCCACACACACACATACTACAGCAAATGTAGGGTTTTACCTTAAAACTGGCAAAGGCAGCTTGACAGAAGGCATGAGGAAGGCAAGGCTGCTGAAGCTATGGGGGCGAGGGCAAACGCTCAAAGATGGGACCGCACCACGCCATAAGCTCTTTCAAGGAGTATGTAGGCAAACAGCCCAGCAAGAGGATGGAGGGTGAAAGGGCATTCTGTCCAGTACCCAGAGTACTGGATGCCTCTGAGGCAACCACATTCCACTCTGTTAGTGTAGTTTCTGCTCAGCCACTGCTCCTCGGTGGGACACAATGTTAACATCCTGGGAAAAATCAGTGTGGAATAAAGCAACTTGCACGTTATACTGCTCCCATTCCTCTAGTTATCAGCCTTACCTTGTCTTCCAGTAACACGGGTCACAGTATCATGTATTGTGGAGCAGTCCACATATGCAGATAGGGGGAGGTGCAGTTCTCAACCAGGAGCCCATGCCCCGGTCCCAGGCTCCGTGAGCAAAACAAGTAAAGACTCCCAGAGGTAGAATTCATTCAGAGACGTGAGTCTCCTCTCCGTGCCCCCTTCCCTCTCTTCTCAGTCTGACCAGTCTAATTTCTTCTCCTTTCCTTGGTGTCAGGCTTCCTCTTCCCTCCCTAGCCTGTGAGCTCCTTGAGAGAGGGCTCTGTCTTATTCATTGATGTGCTCTGAAGACCCACACAGGGGCCCTGGAACAGAATAGCTGCATTACAGTTGAGCCTCCTTTTGTAGGTAAGGAAGAGCCCCAAACTCACTGAAGGGTCCCGGGGCTCATCGGAGCGCATCGGAAACACTGGGCACCTTGAGATGAGGATGGAAGCACTGCCCGCCCCACCCCCCCCACTTCAAGGACAGGGACGGTGTCTCATTCAGCTCTATGTCCAGCATCCCTGTTGCTCCCAAGTTGAGGCAGGGACTCCTCAGTGGGTCCCAGCCCTGCTTTAGCTGCGAGGCCACGACAGGGCTAGCAGCACATCCTTCTCCTCAGCCCTCCTCCCTTCCTTCCTTTCAACAAATATTTATCAGGCCCCTATCCCATACCAGGCACCATACAAGGTCCTGAGGATGAAGTTGGGCGAGAAAGACGTGTGGAATCTGCCCTCATGGCGCTTCTGTGTGGCCTAGAGGTTAAGTGCTTAACTTCTGGAGCCATGTTCCCTGGATCTGTTATCTGGCTCTGTCCTTTTCCCACTATATGAACGTGGCCAAATTCCTCTCCAAATCTGTTTCCTTACCTGGAAAATAAGGCTCATAATAGAACCTAATTCAGGGGCTTGTTATGAATATTAAATGAATTGACGTATAAAGGACTTAGAATAGTACCTGACCCAGTAAGTGCCCAATAAATATTAACTGTAATTAGTAGTATTACAGTTGCTGTCTATAGATGATAAACACATGAATATAAAATCATGATAAGCTATCAGTATTATGAATGAAATTCCAGGAATAACCTGGAACTCTGTGGTTCTATCTAACTCTGTAGCTAGTAGACTACGCAAACGTTATCTGACAGGGGAGTCGGGAGGTGGTTGGGCCTGGGGACCTGAAAGATCTCTGTACACTTCTGGTTTGAAAGAAGATTAACAGTGGGGAACTTCTTAAAGAGGGTGATCTGAAAGGGCCTCTCTGAAGAGGGGCTGCAATATAAAGGATATAAACACTGACTCTTGCAGGAGGAGGTTGGCATGGGAGGGGTGTTCCAGGCAGAGGAAAGAGCCCTCACTGGTGATCAGGTGATCAGGTGTTGAGGACCTTCCCCTACCGGTTCTGCACCTGGCCAATCTTGTTAAAAGACCCTTTGTTCCCAGTTGCTCAGTTTCAGTGTCTACTGTATGGGGAGCCCTCAGTGGTGGCTTTCAAGCACTGGGGTCTGAACACTGGTACCACCCATATCCTGAGGATTCTAGGACTCCATGTCCTTTCAGGCTGTTACTGTGACTCCCTCTACACTGCCATGCTGGCTGGGCCGTTGTTTTATTTCTTAGGTTACACTTGAGCAGATTAAAGAAAGGAGACATAATGAGCATGCACTTCTACGTGCCATGGTCTAAATTCATTACCGATGCCCAAGTTTTAATCAGGATACGTTGCCAACCACATAGTTTGGGCAACCTTGGTTACGTCATCTCATTTCCTCTTCCTTCACCAATACTCACTCAACAGATACCAGCTGAGCAAGAAGTATGTGCTAGTGTGACGTATGTGCTAGGGTTACTTGGGGCCTCAGCTTCTCCACCGACAGTGTGAAGGCTTGGGCCACATCACTGGTTTTCAGCTGCAGTGTTCACTCCCAATCTCCATTTCATTAAATGGAGCCATTCTCTCTGGTATACTGAAAAGCTTTCTCAAGTAGGGGAGAAAACAGTGGATTGACAACTAGCAGAACAATAACCCAGAACTTAATTTTTCTCTGCCTAGATTGTTAGGCTCCGTGAGCCTCACTTGTCACAAGAAATCCATGGAAGGGGTTGTGAACTGCTGAACTAGCTGTTCGCTGAGGTCCTCTCTAGCTCTGACATTCTCTGAATCCTGTAATTATTTGTCTTTTCTCTTTGTTTCCTTTCATTTAACACCATTTCATATGCATGTTTCCAAGAATCCACGGGGGTTCTCTCCCTTGTCAGCCTCAGGGATTCGGCTTCAGTTTTGCTTAGTACTTTCCCTATTGATCCCCCCTTCTTGATTCACTCTCCTTTACAGACCTTTTCAGAGCCTTCATTTCAATGAATCCTAACTGTGTGTGTGTATCTCCCCACACTCAAGGTCTTTATTCCTGGCACCAGCAGGCACTTAGCAACTGTTGGATGAATTAGTGAATTCTTAATGATTATCAAGAACCTCAATATATGCATCCATACACGTAATAACCTTTGGATCATTTGACTTCTTTTCTGAGGGTGTCAATTCGGACGGAATTGCTAGATCCAAAGTTATAAGCTGGTTTCCTGATTTTATTACCAACTTCCAGATTGCTGTGACGTTTGTTGTGTGTAAGCAGTAGTATTGCTGATAACACTTGTGGTAATTATTTATAACATTATCTTAAATAATTAATCAAATCAGAGTACTTCCTCTCTCTCCCCCCCCACCCTTTTTTCTGGGTATCAGTATCCTTTGTATCCCAAACTCCAGTGGTTTCCCTAAAGCCACTTGGATCAGTGCTACATGCTCTGAATTTAGCCAGAGAAAAAGAAATGGGTTGCTCCAGCTCTAGGTACCAGCAATGTGTCTTCTTGGAACCCTGCACCTTTTGCCAATGCAGCATCAGCCTGGCTTGGGGTTTTCTGCGATGTTGATGATGGTGGTGGTGGTGATGATGATAATGATGGTAAATATAACTCTAACAACCCTATGAAAATATCATTAACCCCATTTTATAGATAAGGGAAACTAAGGCTCAGAGAGGTGGCATGGCTTGCCCTCAGTCACACAGCTAGGAATTAGTAAAGACAGGATTTACGTCTGTTTCTGAGTAAAGCTGGTCTCTTTCCACAAAACTACACTACACTGCTCCACAAGTGGACCTACAGGGCCAGGAGCCTTGTGGGAACAGCAGGTCTGTCAAGTTCTACAGGGCTGAGCTATTTATTGCTGCAGAGGACACTCATCACTATGCTAATTACATTAATTGCTGCCCACTCTGCGGCTAGGTGGGTGGTTTAACAACACCTAGCAACGTGGTAATGATGCCTGCGCCTGCCTTTCTGCGTGCAAACATCTAACTTTTTTTTGTTTTTTAAACTCCTTCCTGTGGTGGCCAAGGAGAGTAATTATAGGTTCTACTGGTTGGAAGTTAGTGACTTTCTACCTTGTAGGGAAAAGGTCAAGACACTGAACTTTGACACTTCATCAGCATCAACTGTGTGCTTGACACTTTAAGGGATCTTTCATAATCCTCATGACAGCTTAGAGGGGGGTATTATATTATCCTTATTTTGTTTCTAAGGGAACCCAGTCACCTGCTTGAGGTCACATAGCTGGATATTGGTTTAGAACTCTGCACTGTCGGAGGACAAATTTAGCCTCCACACATTTCCCTACACTATAGCACCTCTCAACAGGAGACTTTTTGCTTCTGATGCTTGGAATTGAATTACACACCAGCAGGGCTGAGTCTGTATTTCAAACAGAGAGGAAGCAAGGCATTGGGAATCAGTGTTTTGCAGAGTCCTCCATTGCTAGGGGATGAATATTTGACATTTCAACCTTCCAACTCCCATCTCTTCCCCGAGCTTCTCAAGGAAATGTTAACAGAATTTTCCAGTTGACTTTTTTTTGTTTTTTGCGATACGCAGGCCTCTCACTGTTGTGGCCTCTCCCGCTGCGGAGCACAGGCTCTGGACGCGCAGGCTCAGTGGCCATGGCTCACGGGCCCAGCTGCTCCGCGGCATGTGGGATCTTCCCAGACCGGGGCACGAACCCGCGTCCCCTGCATCGGCAGGCGGACTCTCAACCACCGCGCCACCAGGAAAGCCCTCAGTTGACTTTTTAAGAAGTAATTTGAAGACTACATCCATGTACTTCTTGTGAATGGACAAGGTGATTTTGGCAATTCATCATAATTGGCTGAATGACTTAACTTCCCCAGAGACCCAGATAACAGAGGCTAATTTAGGAGGTAGTTGACTTTGGAATGTTATATATGCATGCACTTTATGGGTGTGTCCATATTATATGTCAATAAATGTATTGTGTGTATGTGCGTGTGTGTGTGTGTGTGTGTGTGTGTGTGTGTTCAGGAAATCTTGAGGTACTGGTGGATTTAGATGATTTGGTTCCTTTATTAGCTACCATCTAGCTGTAGATGAGGTTTAAAAATATATTTTACTAATATTCAAAACAATTACATTATATAATGATACAGAGTAGTAGTTAAGATATCTGGAGCTAGACCGGAGTTTGAATCCTGCCTCTGCCACTTAACAGCTGTTGTGACTTAGGCAAGTCACTTAACCTCTCTGGGCATTAGTTTTCCCATTTCTAAAAATTGGGGTTAAAACAGTTCTGACCTCAGGGAGGTTTTTGAGGGCAGGGACTATGTCTGTACACTTCTCTGCACCCAGCCAGAATGAGGTTTGGAAAGAGCAGGCTTTGGACTTACATAATCCCTCAGCTTTGATTCTAGCACTCCCATATTGGCTGTGTGGCCTTGGAGAAATTACTTAACTTTTCTGGGCCTCAGATTCCCCATCTATGAAATAGAGGCTCATTATTCCTACCTCAAACGATTGTCACGTGATGAGGCGGGACCTATGAAGACCTAGTACCTAGGATAGCACGTTGGAGGTATCCATTTCCCTTTTTTTCATCCTGGAGGCTGATGACATTCAAGGATGCATGACTAAGTTCTTGTTTGATTTGTGAAACACATTCTTTTCTCTCACACTCCATCTTTATTTTCTCCTTCCCACCCTTTTTCTTTATTTCCCTCCCTTCCCTATCCGTCCCCTTTCTTTTTCTTTTTTGGTCAGCCTCCATCTACTGTGACTCAGACCCTCTGTCCAGGGTCACCTGGTCCCTGGATTGTCGCAGCAGCTCTCTCCCTGGCATCCTCCATCCTCCCCTCCATCTGGCGCTCTGTGTTTTATTCTTCACACAGGGTGTCCTTCCATCAACCTGACCCAAACCTTGCTACTCCTCTGTGCCACTCCTTCCAGTATCCTCATCACACACAGAGCAGTCTGTGGCCCTCACCATGGCCCGCAAGGCTCTGTGTGAACTGTCTTCTG